CCAGTCTCTCCTCCATCCATAATCGGCTTACACTGCTCTTCCTCTGGTTCCTGCTTCTGTATCCTGTGACCGATTATGATCAGTCACCTGGCAACAACCTTCCTGGCCTCTGGCAACCTCTACCAGCACACAATGGGAAAGCTAAAGCATTGACCTTCATCAGTACTGCACTTGCCTCTCCCTCCCTGCAGTCCTGTAGTCCTTGGTGAGGTTGACTCTGAGTAAACCCCCACACAATCTTTATTGCTAATAGCCCCCTCCTTCCCAGACACAGGTAGAGAGGCAAGTATGGCAAAGTCTATACTTCAAAATCTTCTGAGGCCTTCAAATATGGCACCACACCAATCTCATATGTCCTTTTTTGGAGATTAGTGGCAAATAAATGATATTGTGATGGAGAAAAAACACAAACCTTGACCCAGAACACAAATTTTTCATAATCCTTTAGATAGTCCAATGAGAAAGAGCTGCCAAACAGAACATTCCACAGTGATGGTTGTCTTGTACAGCTACAGTCCAACATGGTAGCCCCTCACCACACCGCGCTGTCCTGCTATGGATAACATGGCTGAGCAGCTGAATTTTCTATTTTTCTTATTTCAATGGCCACTTTAATCTGCCAGCTGCTCTTTTGGACAACACATTTTTTGGCCTTTCTGCATGATGTCCAGCCTCTGGTCCTAAATTATTTTCCTGACTCAAGGGTTCAAGTCTATTTGTCTCCATCCCAAATGGACTTGACCTTAGTTGGGAACCCAACCAATGGGAATGAGTGACCTCAGCTCTGGAGTTTTCTCACTACCGCTTATGTCTCTCTGGTTTGAGGTTGTTCCCAAGAAGGGAAGTAAAATAAAAATCATCATTAGAAGGGTAAAGAATATAATCAAAATATACTACTTGTAAAAAAAAAAGCTATACGAAAAATCAAAATAAATATAAGGACAAAAAATAGTCATATTATAAAAAGAAAATAATCATAATTGACTACTGATATTTCAAGAACCACAAACTAGTCTTGAAAAAGGGCTTCTGCATCTTGAGCTAAGCAGGTCCATTTGGAACTCAGCCTCCATGTCCCCATGCATGTGAATTTTAGGTACTATCTTTCTTCTAGGAAGGATCACTAGAGTGATTGAACATTCCTATCACCATCACAATACCATCCCTCAAAAAAGAAAAATTCTGTCAGAGCACATGTAGCTCAAGGCCAATGGCATGCAATATTTTTCTAGCCTACATATTAAATTTGAAGCCAGACTTGGCTACATAAGACCTTGTCTCAATAATAAATTTGTTATTTTTATTATTATTGTTCTTAAAAGCAGGGTAGTCTTGGAAAGGTAGGAGGCAGATGGTAGAAGTGAGATATCTACCATAGATGGCACACAACTGCTAAAAGGAATGGTGTAAAGGCACTTGACGTCAATCCTGATTACTGAGTATAATCTTTGAGAAAGCCGCTCCACCACAAGTTGTCCTCTGACCTCCATATCTTCTCCCTAGCAAATGTCCATACACACACACACACACACACACACACACACACACACACACACACAAATAAGTAGATGCAATAAGAAGCGGCATAAAAGCTATTGAAAAATGATACTTTAGTCCCCATTGCATGCATTCTCAATAAACTTGTGAAGTCAGCAAAGGGGAGTAAAAAGCCAAATCGAGGAGATTTTAAAAGTGGATTAACAATAAAAGTTGGTACACTATGGATGCGTGAGACTATGCAATCTCATTCCTACAACCTAGGAGACAACATGGCTGATTCTGAAAAGGAGAAGCGCACACGCCACTCCACTCACACACCCACCCACACGCCATTTTTCTCCTCAACTAAAGGATTGCAGAATCTGGTCAGGGTGGATTAGTATTTGGTCATCTATCATTCAATACCTCTCCTACCTCACCCTATAGACAGCAAGTACAAGTACAGAGTAAATTAAATGTTCTCAAGTTGTGAAGGTTAACAGAACGAGCTCAGGTCTTGTGGTGTGGTTTCTACCATCCTGTGACAAGCATCATCCCCTGCAGAAGAAGAAAGGAATGTTAGTGGATCTTTTCAGCTATTAAGCTGCCAGCATTTTCCAGTTCTTCCTCCCCTTTTAAAGCACGTCCGCTCTCATCAGTCGTCTACGTGGCTCATGACACCAGTGCTCTACAAAATTTCAGGTGTATTTTACAAAACCATGTCCTCTGTCCTCGGGGCTATTCATCTGGAGCAAATATTGGTGAAGCTCTCTCTAGGCATTGGTTGCTTGGTTAATCTGAGAGCCTCCTGCCTTCCAGGGGTACACTGTCCAGAAAGGAGGCTGCAGGCAGACAGGAGCCACCTCCCCAGTGTTTGGGTCCTCCAAGCATGAGTGCTGAGTCTTCCCTGGTACTGGACTCTGTCCTCATCTGAAAGGGAAAACAATATGGGCTGAGAGTTTGTGTGTTTTGTCTACACTTCTGTAATTGGTCCAATTAGGACTACTGCAGCTTTATCTTCAGATGCCTTGGCCAGAAAACAAACCGCAGAGTTTGGTCACTCCACCAGCATCCACTGTTGCCTGGCTCTCTGAGGGGCTAAAGTATAAAGGCGGCCAAATCTCCCATTCTGAAAGATCTCCCTGGGAGAAGCAAGTGTATATAGTACTTTTTTTTTTGTATGACTGGTGTGCGTATGTAGTCATACTTTTCTTTGGGCCACCAGCTCACAAATAATGACATGGAGATTTATTAATTATGAAAGCTTATTGTATCTGTTTGTTCCTTTGGTATATGTCCGTCATTGTGAGAATAGTGAATTATAGATGCTAATAGTACCACTTCATTTCTCTAGGTACAAACCCTTTCTAATTGCTTGTCTTTTCAAACATTTGCTTAGATATTATCACTGGTTTGTTCTATCATCTAAAAGGAGGACAGATTGTACATGGACGATAGACTATAGGTACTAATTATTATGAAATTGTTAATAACTTCTAACTTTTTACTTGTCACTATTAAATATTATTTCTATCATATTTACTTTGAGCCTTTTCTGTGTTGAGGCCACCAGTTGATGTCTATCCTTGGACCCTATCTACCCAAAGTCAAGTAAAGATCAAAGAATAAAATATATAAATATTTTTAAGATTGAATTATGTCCCAAAGAGCCTGTATAAATTAGAATTATGTCTGTCCCTGAAATCATCATCTGTCGCAGGAAAATACCTATGGGATATGCTACAAAGCCAGGCAGTTGAGCAATTTGAATGAGTCTGGGTACAAAGGTTGGCAGAGTGAGGGCAGTAGAGCTGGCTATGGCAGTATGAGTGCCCACCGAGGTTCCACAGAGTACTGCGCCTAGAGAGAGGTCCCACAGGTAGGGATGAATACAGAGGGTCACTCTCTAGAACGCCTTAGCAATTTTAGGTTAGAATTTGTTTTAGAAGGAGCCCAGTGAGGCATCAAGCAAAGGCTAGGATATTAGAACATGGATCCATCAATGCCCTCTTCCCATTCCTGCCGCCCTAGGATGGGCTCTTACCCCCCATCCTCTGCCCCACCTACTTCCACCTTGGAAAGGGGCTGGCTGAGTTATAACTTCCAGGATATTCAAAGTCAGGTGCCAAGTTGCAGGATGGAGTCAAATCTCTCAAAGCTTTGGGGTAACTCCCAGGTCCCTGGAAAGACTAGCATACCCCATGAATGTTCTCATTCAATCTGTCTCCGTCAAAATTAAATAGTAAATTAAAAGCTACCATGAAGATTGAGGATATGACTCCGTAGGTAAGAGCATGAGAACCTGAGTTCAAATCTCCAGCGCACATGTAGAAAAAAGGGATGTATCTACATGCACAGCTGTAACCCGCTTGGGAACAGAGACGGGAGAATCATTGGAGCTTTCTGGCTCCAAGTTCAGTGGGAGACCCTGTCTCAAGGGAATGTGACAGAGAATGACAGAACAGAGCACTCTGTCCTGCACATACACCACACACAGGTGTGTACACATACAAATACTTACACATAAACAAACAAATAAATCCGATGGCAGACAGAGAGTGACAATCTAGGTAAGAAAGGAAAAGACTTTGGACTCTTCTGAACAGGGCCCTCACATTTTCATTTTGTGCTGAACCCATAAATGGCAGAGCCAAACCTGAATGGAACTGAGGCTAGTCAGGTGGGTTGGAGATGAGTTGGCAGGGCTCTGCTGCCACCATGCTTGACCTGCACTTCCTAAGACAAGGTTGGCATACTTTTTCTGTAAAGGGCCAGATGGTAATTATTTCAGTCTTTGTAGCCATATGCTCTCAGATGCAATGAGTCAGTGCCACCATTATAATGCAAAACTGGGAAGAGATAATACAAAATGCAATACATAAAGCTATGTTTCAATAAAACTTTATTTTAAAATACAATAGGATGGGTTTGGTCTGCTTGCCATCTCTTATTATAGACAAAGGGGTGTGCCCTAAAGACATTTAAACCGAAGAAAGGCACAGAATCAGAAAATTTTCTAGAAGGTTTACTTGACTTCACTGGGAAGAAGAGGATTAGCCTAGAGGGGGTTCTAGAAGACAACGCTGCTAACCTCCAATTCCAAAGTGTAGCGTCTGTCTGTGCTATGTGTACTACAGTACTATGCCCGTAGTGCAGCACCTGCAGGAGACGGGTCATCCTTGAAACAAGAATGCCAACTTTATTGTGCTCAGGGGCAGCTTATATAATGCTCTGGTCACACCCCAGCTCTCCGGATCTTTCAGCTGCAGCCGCCAGAACCCACTCCCCTGTCTCACGCTCAGAGTAGCTAAAACACAGGGAAACAAGTTGTTTCTCTCCAGCAGGCAAAGGGTCTGAGGCAGGTAAAGAAAGTCAAGGGGCCAGGGGTCTGCAGCCCCCAACACCAAGGAGCCAGGGACCATCAGCAGTGGCCATAGGCTTGGAGAAGGAAGCAACATAAACATCTCCCCAAGGGACTGACAGCCAGGTTGCTGACCCAACTTGCATGCTTTCTCCCACAGAAGAAAGAAAGAGCAAGCGGAGAGTTCGCACCACCTTCACGACGGAGCAGCTACAGGAACTGGAGAAGCTCTTCCGCTTCACCCACTACCCCGACATCCATGTCCGGACCCAGCTGGCTTCCAGGATCAACCTGCCTGAAGCTCGAGTACAGGTACAGTGACCACTTCACTCAGTTCCTTGCTGGGCCCTCAGCCCTGCAGGGCTGCCCCAGCTGAACCATCTCCTGGGTTCCAGGCAGTGAGACTACCCTCGCCTCATAAAGAACCTCTAGTGGGTAAACTCTGGTGCTCTCCATCCATCTCTGTCCCATGCCCCCTCTCAGCTGCTCATTCATGCTTCTAAGGGTTATCCATGCTATCAGTTATAGCAGCTGAGGACTGGGGTCAGCCAACATTTTTACTAAGAGGAATCGCCTTGGGTTTTGCTAGACATGCCGTCCCTGTCAGGGAGGGCGAGTGTCCCTGCCATGGTGGCCTGAAAGCAGCCACAGCCAAGGAAGAAACAGGTGACCATGGTGACATTCCAACAAAATTATATTTATAAGTGTGGAAATCTGATTTTTGTACAAGCTGCCAGTGTCAGAAAATACTATTCCTTTTGTTTCTTTTCTCAATGGTTTAAAACTGTGCAAATCCCTCTCAGCTGGAGGGCCACTCCGACATTTGGGTTGGTAGGCGTGGCTGACCAAGGCACTGCTGGCCAGCCTGGTAAAGTACACCTCCATCTCCTTGGTGGAAGCAGAGCAGCAGACAGACCAAGGATTCACTGTCAGAGACAGGGTTTCTATACTAACAGCCGAATCTAACATCTGCCATCTTGTCACCACCACATTCTGTTAGAAAAGTCTCAGGCTGGCATGAGTCTCTGCTCTGACACACAGCAACACTGCCAGCACTGTTCTGAACACAGAGACTTCGACATCATTCTTAAAAAACAAAAACATGCAGTTTATTTGCTCTCACTCAGAATCAAAATAGAGGTCCACCCCAATGCACCACGTTCCATTCAACCCCCTTCCTCTGGCTAGAGCCCAGCCCAGTCTAAGTCCAGCTAAGTTCCTCTTACTTAGAACTGTGTTTAACACCTGCGTCTGCCATCAAGTCTAAAAACCAACACCTGCTTTCCCAGAATCACCAAGGACAAATGTCTGCATGTCAGAGACCATCAGGGCGCCCAGGAATGCAGAGATCGGCCAATGTTCAACCTATAGCTGCCAAGTGGCCCAGAGGGGTTGCAAACTGGTGGCCTGCTGATGGAAGACACCTCACAAATGGCTTTTATTTGGCCTGCACGGCACTTAAAAACTCAAAAGCATTCACATAAAAAAAGAAAAGGAAGGGAAGAAGGAAAGGGGGAAGGAGTGAAGAAGGGAGGGAGGGAGGGAGGAAGGGAAAGATAAAGGAAGGAAGGAAGAAAGGAAGGAAGGAAGGAAGGAAGAAAGAAAGAAAGAAAGAAAGAAAGAAAGAAAGAAAGAAAGAAAGAGAAGGTCATCAAGATTCTTCCCGCTGGAGGCTGGAGGCTGGAGACTGATGAATCTGACATGCCGGCTCCTGTTTCCAGGTGGCAGCTGTTAGCAGGATCTCAGATCTTCAAGCTCTGTTCACCACAGACCCACCCAAACCTTCTCAGTTCTTACTCATGCATGTCCCCCACTCCTGTTACCCTGGTCTCTTCCCTGAAGTCTCCAGACCCGACATGCAATGAACTCCCCCTCCCAAGGTGTGATTTTATAAACTGTGAAGTGCTCATTCTTGGGGGATGCTAGTGTTCTGGAGTTGGGGGAAGATACCAAATGGGGGTGGGGCGAGTAGTTGGATGTATTTCCTTTACACATGTTCATTTTCTTTCCCTGACCGCAGATCTGGTTCCAGAATCAGAGAGCCAAGCGGAGGAAGCAGGAAAAGATTGGAAGCGTCAGTGCATCGCAGCAGCCTGGTGAGGCCAGCTTGACCCTGCCCTCAAACATGGACATGGTTGTGAGTGGCTCAGTCGTCTGGGTTCACCTCACCCCAGCCCTGCTCTGAAGGATCCCTGGGGAAGGTGCCTACAGTAGCGACCACCATGTGAATCCTTCCAGAAATAGGAAGGCCAAGGAGATGCCTAAAAGAGGGGATCTGGAACAAGTGTCTCGCTAGCTGGCTCTCCCTTTGAGTGACAGAGTGGTATTGTCACCTGTACAAAACTTCACAGTTCACAAAACAGAGTCACGGGGTAAAGCATAGAACATAGGGGTTGGGCAGTCAGCTCTAAAGTAGACTGCCCAGTGTCAAACCTCAGTTCAAATCCCACATCACAGTGTGCCATAGAAAAGTCATCTTGCTCCTTAGAGGTCAGTACTAAAGTTTTGACCAGGATGCGGTGACTAAGACCTGGAATCTTCTATTCATGGTCTGCTACTGAAGAAGTGACTCTCTGAGGAGTGAGGTGACATCCTAGACACATGGCTGCTATCCATGCTGTGAGGTTAGGTCCAGGTAGGTATGCTGAAAGCCCCAGAAGGGCAGGACCAGCTGCCACACTACCCACCACCAGCTCATTGAATCATGGAGGCCCCTGGGAAGCAGCAAGAACAGTTCTTGGTCAAGGTTAGGACTCATTGGTCCCCTCTGATCTTTCCTGACAGGGTCCTGTGCTGACACCTACTGCTCTGCCCACAGTGGTGCCTCCCACGGGTTGCTACCCACGTTCTCAGACTCAGCTCACTTCAACCTGGTTCCCTGCCCAGATCATCCTTGTCCCATGGCACCCATGGGATCTGCTGCCCTTGCCTGGCTATCTTACCCAACAGGCTTGTGTTCCTACCCTCATCCTGCCACCTGCATACCCCAAGTGAGGCAGCATCTGTGTCAGTTCAACATAGGGACTGGTTGCTCTTTTCCCAAGCAAGCTACTCTACTCTCTCAGTGATAGCAGACAACCCTGGACCTCAGAGAAAATCCCTCCCCAATCCATCAATGGCCCACAGCCCGGGAAGCTACCCAGAGCTTGCTATTGGAAACTGCATTGGCATGGCAGCAAAAGACAACACACCAGCCCAAGTCATTGTCCTAGTGCAGAAGCTTGGCTGCCTGAGGGCTGGGGATGAACTCCAGAATAAGACACTCTCCATTCACCCCTGTGCTTCCTCTAATGGCTGTCCACCTCCAGCTGGTCAGTCTCAGTACCCCCTGTACTGAGATCCCCCTGGACCTCATCTGTAGCAGATTCCTTCTGAGAACCCTTTTCTCCCTTACTTTGGGGGAGATGAGCCCTGAAAAACACAAGATGTGGAGAGGCCCAGGAGGGGCTTCACATCCATGCACCCATCCATGATGTCTTTACTGACCACTGAGCATTGTACACTTAGAAACAGATGTGGAGCTGAACAGATTGGACTCTGCCCGGGTCAACTGAAAGGTGCAGCTGACCTCTGCCTGCATCAGATGGCGGTGACCTTGCACTTGGCTCCTGTCCAGCTGACATTACTATTGACGTTGGTATGAAAAATCTCAGAATGAGAGAAAAATAGAAAAAAATGTTTTTATTTTAAAACAGAATTTCGTGTCTATCATTTGCTGGTCTGGGAAGCATGACCTGTCTGCACTGGAATTACTGACGAAGAAGACAGCAAAGCTCTGTGCACACAGGGCCCAGCTAGCCTGCCTGGCTCTGTGCTGGAAAGCCCTTGGCGCAGCTCTTGGTTTCTTTGCAGGGATGCTAGACCATGGCTCTCAGCCTGTGGGTAGCGGCCCCTTTGGCAAACCTCTATCTCCAAAAATATTTACAGTAGCAAAATTACAGTTTTGAAGTAGCAAAGAAAATAGATTTATGGTTGTAGACCTCCACAACATGAGGAATTGTATGAACGGGTCACAGTGCTGGTAGAGTTGCCCTAGACAAACCAAACCACATGTTCTGCCTGAGTCTAGTTTTCCTTGTCTCTAGAAGAAAGGCAGCGGCTCCCACCTGGCCTTTGATACACAGCATCCAGAAGACATTGGGAGGAGGGCACTGCACCTTAAAAGCCTGAAAGTTGGGCAGCCACTGGAATGATGTTAGCATTTCATGCCTGGGCAGGCCATGGCCTGGTTCCCTGTCCCAAGAGGTTTCTAGTCCCAGGGAGACCTCCTGCTGGGCTTGCTTTCTGCCCAGAAGTCTCAGAGGTTTGTGGTTGCTGCTCCCCTCAGGTAGGCAGCTGTGGTTGAACTCTGTGTATAGCTTCAGGGTAAGTTCTAGAAAATTTATTCTGAATCAAAAAACACCTGAAATCTTCATGAGCCCTGACCTACCACAGAGTTAGACCAAGAGTTGGGAAGACTAGGTCTGTATATCCTCTGATTAGTCTCGGCCTCAGTTTCCTCATCTGTAAGTTAGAGATAGCAGCACCAGCTCTGCCCTGGGGAAACCAGCACACCAGAAGTACAGAGCACAGTTCCTCTACTGAGAAGTAGTCAGCCACTCTGAGCCCTTCAGACCCGAACCTGACATACAGGAGAAGGTTGGGGACAGATGGAGAAACACAAAAGAAGGTTAATTCAAAGGCTCACGATTAGGCAGCCTTCTGTGCTGTGTGCCTGTGACAAAATGCCGGAGATAGACTGTTTAAAAGGAGAAAAGGTTTCAGGGATTGAAGATCAGAGTTCTCTGACCATGTGGCCTTGGGCCTATGGTGGCAGAGTACCACTCAGAAGAGGGTGTGGCAGCGGCCCATTCATTGTGTGCGTAGCCACCAGGAAGCAAAGGAGGCAGAAAGGGGTCAGCGTCCCAGCATCCCTTTTAAAAGGCACACCTTCAGCAACCCAGCTTCCCCAACCTCCCATGAGCACTCGGGTCAGAAACCAAGCCTTTAACACATCAGCCTTTGGAGACATTTAGGCACAAACCGTGGCGCAGGGGCCCATTCCGTGGCCAGAAGTCCATTATACAGATGTAGCTCCCGCCATTTCTCTAACATTGTGCTTACTGTCTGCATTAGAAGCAAGAATTTATTCTAGTAGCTTCTAGATTGCTTTTCAGTAACTCAGATACTCCCAATGTAGTGTGCCAAGCCACTCAGGGATTGAATTCAGGTCATAAGCCTTCGCAGCAAGGGCTCCTACCTTCTGAGCCATCTTTCCAGCCTTGGAGACATGAATTGCTCCAATACAAAAAGCTCAGCTTCAGCACTGTAGGAAAGGCTGAGTCAGAGACACCTCTTCCTCCCTAGGGATTCTTCTCCCCGAAGAACTTTTTAATTGCTTACCTATACCCCTGGGACTTCCAAACCCTTATCAACTGTGTAACCTCGGGTAGCGAAGGACATGTCCTTCCACCTACTTCTTCCTGGAATAACAAGTGTCTTGCATCTGTGGGAGACATTGACAATTACATCAGAGCCTCTGGCACATGGCAATAACTCAACATGTGTGGGGAGGGTCATTTTCCCAAACAGTCTTTCAACCCCTTTGCTGCCTGGAGCAGCATTCTCTGACCCCAGGCACTCTCTCTCCCAGTACCTCTGGATTCCATTCCTGGGATGCCAAGGAACTCTCCAAAGACATCAAAATCATGTGTTTCCTCTTCTCTGGAAAAAGTGCCCCTCCTTTTCCTAGCTTCTCTGAGGCCCAGGAATCCTGACAGATAGGGCAAATTGCATTCTGACAGGCGCTGACTTTAAAGACCAGCGAGAGAATGCAAGGGTCACTAATTTCTTTCTTTTAAAGAATTCTTATCATTGTATATGCATCATATATATGTTCGTGCATGTTTATGTATATGAACAGAAGTGTGCATGTACATGTGGAAGCCAGACGACAACCTCACATGTCAGTTCTCTATGGCCTCCGGGACAATGCCATCACCAGTATGGAAAGAAAAGTAACAGGCTTAAGTGAAACCCCAAGAACTAACAGAGAAGCTTCCCAAAAGCCCATTCAGCCCCCACCTCTCCAGGCCTCTCCCAGAGATACCCTTCAGAGCCCTGCACTGGGAATATGTCATCACTGAGGCCCCTGGACTGGACTGCGAACGTTCTCTATCTCTGCCCTTTGCCCTGCTCATCCTCCAGCCAGGAATGTCTATCCTTCTGTGTGGGGATGCCTTTCCACTCATGTGTCACACCTCCATCAGAGGACATCCCCACGGCCCCCCTCCACCCCTCTGAAATTAGGCAATCTTTTACATAATCCAATGAAAGAATGTCTAATAGCTACTACAGACATGTGATTCTGTAGCTCGGAAAAAGTTATCTTTATAGATACAAATTATAGATAAATTCTGCCTTATCTTTTATGCCGTCTCTTCCTTCTCACTCCCATAGCACTGTGACCCTTCTTTGTGATGATAAGACCCCAATTCTGAAGTCCTACCCTGTGCCGAGCACTGATCCTCACACCAGTCCAATGACACGGGTTCACATTGTCCCACCGGCCATGGGACTTGCACATCACACAGCAAATGTCTGTATTTAGAGTTCATTTCTGTTTGATGCCAAAACTTGGAACCACTACATACACAAAATTATAATGATATAGTTAATGTGTATATATATATATATATGGTTTATAATTAAAGCAAACATGTAAACTGTGCACAACATCTGTAATCATATAAATCCATAATGGCAGGCTATGTATTTCCTGCATATGTGCAGCCTCCCCATATTTACTCCATCTATTCTCCTTTCTAGCACCATGTTAGGTGAACGGCTGAATTCTGTTCTGTGATTAGACATTCAATTGTCTCTCTCACTCCCACTGTTATGATTTTCTACACAGGTAGAAGAAAGAAATTGAGCCAGACCCTGGTATTCTTTATGGGAAAGATCAGAACTTGAAAACAGACTGGCAGAGGCTTGTCATGGCCCCCAGAAGCTGATGGAACTGTAGAGGGAAGTTGGAACACCACACAGGTGCCACTGTAGTTACCTCTGCCAGATGAGCCTGTTCTAAGGACTCACTAGGAGGGCCCTGACCGCTCGGTGACCCCTGGGTGGGGAGGAAGGTTACAGCCCTCTTATCAACAGAAGGTAATAAAGTCATTTCATGGCAATTAGTATCCTAACCAATTTAAATCATTTATAGCTCCAAACAATTACACAGGGATCCTTATCCCCAAGAACAACACAATGTTCTTTGAAGTGGAACATAATGGCCTCAGGTAGGAGTAGACAGGAGGAAAAGATGGGAGCCAGAGCCTGGGAAGATTTCTTCCTTCAGTTTTCTTCATGTTTAATAAGCATGCATAGTAACTTGTTCTCTTGTGACATTCTCATGCTCAATTTTGGTTGATTTCTCCACTCTCAAGTCTCCCAGTCTCCATGTCTCCACTAGAGTATTCCCCCTCCACATTCAAACCACAATGAGATGGATTACCACTCACTCCCGGCCTTGCAGCTCTGTCTAGTTCCCATCCTTACACACACTCCCACATGAATGTTCATATAGGAATCTTAGAAACTAGGATCTTCATGTGAGAGAGAATGTGATATTTGCCTTTCTGGACCTTAGTCATCCTACTCAATGCCATATTTTCAAGTTCTATCTTCCTTAAGTATCTGGCTCAATCCATCAGATGGAGGATACTTGTAATATCTGTAGGTATTTTATGAAGGGTACCCAAAGGAACACAGATGGGGGGATTGTGACCTGGGCCCCCCTCCTAGAGAAAGAAACCTATTGTGTGTCCCAGGTTCTATGAAGGTCAGCAGGACAAAAAGCAGGCTCTTTGGGAGATCTTAACTCAGTGACAGCCAGGTACCTCTGACTGTGACCACTGAACCTATCTTCCCACCAAGCAGTACATGAACACACAGCAAAGCTGGGCAAGTGTGGATCTGGTCATCACACTGTCCTCTTGGGCTAAGACTGGCCTGAATGGGAACCTGTTCTAAAGCCCTCTCTGATCTTAGGGTAGGGACTTTCCCTAGCAGAGATCAGTCATCTACCCTACGGTCACCTCTGAAAGACAGATGGGAAGACTCCACTTGAGAGGACCTGGAGAAATAGGAAATAAAGGACGAAAAACATCTATAACAACTCACCAACTGAAGGACTTTCCTTCCAAAGGTGACAGGAAAAGACTTCTCTGAAGGTATCAAAGGGGAAAATTGATTGTATAAAGAAGTTCAGCAGACACCCCAGGAAGCAGAGACCTCCCCAACAGGAGGAGAAGAGCCCTCTGAATGGTCAGTTAGCAAACACTGGCACTGCTGTGCATTTCAAGCATCATCTAAGCCAGATAAAGTGAAAGGTGAGTCGGTACGCCACTGTGATGCCCGTATCCTCATGTAGAAAACACTGGAAGATCAGAAGAGACTCCTCCCTCCAGAGAACTATGACAGTTTGACATGGGTGATGAGTTATTGTGTTAGTTACTCTTCTCATTGTTATGAAAAATATGAGCAGTGACTTAAGGGAGGAAGGGTTTGTCTCGGCTCACAGATTGAGGGGATAGTCCACCATACCGAGGTAGGTGTTGCAGGAGCAGAAGACATCAAGTCACATGGTGTCCACAGTCAGGAAGCATAGAGTAAACAGGAACTGGGC